TCCCCCCAGGCGCGCCGGGCGCCGCACGCAGGCTGGCGCCGCTGGCACCAGCCAGAGGGCCCCTCCTCCGCGCTGGCTGCGGTAGCGGCCTGCCTGGAGTGGAACTGCGGGGTCGCCGCCGCCTCTGCGGAGGAGGTCCTGGAGCTGTCCTCGGCCAGCCTGAGCGCAGCGATCGGGGGCCGCTTCTCCCTGGAGGCCGCCCGCGGAACCCTTGGCGAGTGCGCGGAGGCCATGGGCCTGGAGCTGAGCCTCGAGGGCCCCGTGCGCTTCTGCGACGGCTCGCTGGGCGAGTTCGCGCAGAGGGTGGAGCGGAGCATCCTCGCGGGGAGCTACCCCCTTGTGAGCTTCGACCCGAGGGTTGCGCACGGGGTGCCCGGTGGCGAAGGCTGGCCAGAGAGCCACTTCGCTCTTGCGATCGCCTGCGACCTGGAGACCGACGGCGAGGGCGGTGGTCTGCTGATGCTGGACCCCGATCCTGAGCGCTACGGGAGGTACTGGTCCTGCTCGGTGGAGGCTTTGTGGAAGGCGTGCCTGGACGAGGACCCACAGACCGAGCATCCCAGGGGGCTCGTCTTGGCCACCGCGCGCGAGGACCCGGACCCAGAGATCGAGTACCTCGCCGGCGGGGGCCTGGACAGCGTGCACCCCGAGCTGGTCGTGGCCGCCGCCGCCGCCGCCGCCGAAGCAGGCGGCGGCAGCTGCGTCCAGCGGCAGCGGGCCCGGAGGGCGGCCGAACCCGAGGCGCGGGCCTCGCCACGCGAGGCCCCAGCGCCAGTGCCGCAGGTGCCTCCGCCGCTGGCGCATGTCGCGGCGCCCGCGCCGCAGCTGGAGGCAGGGGCGGAGTGTGTGGCCGCCGCCGACAGAGCGCGCGGCGGCCGCCGCCAGCCACAGCCGGCCGGGTGGGCCGCCGAGCCCGCTTCGCCAGCCTCGCTGCGCAGGGGGCCCGCGAAGCCGTGTCGGGCGAGGGCCCTGGAGACTGTCGCGCGCGCGCGGCAGATGGCGCAGGCGGAGCCCGAGGCGCCCCAGGTGGTCCTGCCCGCAGTGCCGCCCTGGCCTTCCGCGGTGGTCGTCGTCGAGAGCGTGGCGGGAGGCGTCGTCGAGGCGAGCCTCCAGGACGCCGACTATGCGGACTGCGCCTGCGCACAGGCAGAGCATGGCCAAGTGCCCAGCCCTCTGCAGGCCTTGGTGGACCGCGTCTTACAGACAGCTGAGCGGAGCGAAGGACTGCGCGAGCACCAGGAGGGCGGCCTGGCTCCCAGGGCCACCCTGCAGTGACGTGACGGGGGTGCCTCTCTCAGAGCCGGCCTGTGCGCGGCAGCGCTCGCACGCCGTCTGTCATGCGCAGGGGGAGTACTGTATTTTCTTCCTTCTCCGCCACACTGCTGTCTTGTCGCCCGCATGCGTATCTCCCTCGTCTAGTGAATTTGCCCTGCGTCTGCCGCACCAGCCTGGTTCTGGCAGTCTTTCGGCCTACTGGTTGCACGCTATGATAAGTGATACGTTGACTCAAGAGTAGTTTTTGCACTCGCTTGCCCCAGCCCACTTGTTTTTTGAGCCTCGGGCGTTGGCTAGCGTCTTCCCAGCTGCAGCTCTCTTCTGCTGTCTCCTGGGAAGTGTGTGTGTTGTACTTCTTCCTCCCAGCACAATCCCACGCTTTGACGGCGTTCGATTGGCAGGCACGCGCGCATTTCAACGCTCGGGCCCACACAGCCGTGGGAGCACGTGCAGCACTGGTGAAGCAGTTGTGTCTGTTGGTTGCAGTAGCCTCGACTTCATGTGCCAACGGGGCCAGCTGAATTCCTCGGCGGCGCGCCCTCACCATATCGACTACATCATGGCGCAGCATATCACATACTAGCATCACAGCGTATATCATCATCGCACCCAAGCAGGATATCCGTTGCGTCTCACATGAATATATCTATGTTTACGTAAACATGTCGTTTGACAACTTTAGCTTTTCGTATACGCATGCGCGTAAGCATATGCATTATGGTCACAGTGCCACAATGCCAAACCATATCAAAGCTGTACAGTATGATGGCATAACGTGGTAACCACATAACGCATCTTCCAGCAGCATATACATAGGTCCGTCACAGCATCACAAGCATGCCATTTGATATCACACTCATGGCATGCCATATGACAATACTGCCTGTCTTGAATATTCGCAGAAACGCTCCCATCTCATCTCATATCGTAGCGCTGCAGGTCATTGCACGTGGTACAATGCCATTTCGTATTGTAATAGGCCGTATCGATAGTAGCAGCGCATACCGTACCATATTATAACAAGGATCATGGGAAACCCGAGTAGTCCGATCCCCGAGGAACCCGAGCGCCCAGGGCTGGGAGATGCTGCATCAACTGGGCCTCTTGCACCGCAGAAACAGACCCCCTTAAGCATCGCTTAGTTTGAGAACTGATAGTCGAAGTCTTTAGCACGTCTCTCATCACGGGACAAGGCCAATGGCTAGAGCCAGGCTGTCATACGTTGCGCATGATCGCGACGAGTCTCGGGCAGCACTCGCTCGCATTCAGTCCCAAGTCCTCCGAGTTGCTGGGGTATTTGACGATCACGAGTCTCACGTATCCGAATACTACAATCCGAATGATGAAGGGGAGCACTTGTCGAGTACAGACAGCCCCCGCACAGCCAAGCGATGTTACCGTCTACCGTGTCTTAACACAAGGGTGTTCGTTCAAATATTTTACAGCTTGGCTGGCGCAGAACCCGTCCGCATGAGGCGGTGTCCACCGTTCTCGCTAAGAATTTGGTCAGCGCTGAATGTGTCCAGAGTTGAGGCGGGAGGATGTGGATACAGTTTTGACGCTGTTCGCTTTCCTCGGACCCACCCGTACAGCATCCAGATTTGCAATCGCCAGGCATCTCGTTCCGGCCCCCGCCAGGCCAGCGCAAAGGGGCACAGTGAGCATGTGTACGGTCGCGGCGCCGCGGCAGACGCACGACCAAGCCGATCAGATTTGCAACCCGCCCGCCAAAACAGCAATTGAAACATTAGTACCCACCCGCCAAAAACTGGCCAACAGCTGCAACCGATGTATCCCCACCCACCGCCTGAAACTGCCACACAAGTTTTTTTTTTTTTTTTTTTTTTTTTTTTTTTTCTCTCTTCTCTCTCTCTTATTTTTTTGTTCGTTGCCTGTTCTCTCTCTATATCTCTCTTTTGTTCTCTCTTTTTCTCTGCTCTCTCTCTGTTTCACAATACACGCCTAAAACTGTCACTGACGCCATCCAGGTTTTCCCACCCACCTAAAACTGCCACCGACACATCAGTACCCACCTGTCCAGAACTGCAAACGGAGCATCCTCTCCGAGAGTAGGGAAGGAGGATGCGGCCCCGTCGCGTTGCCCTCTCCCTCCTCTATTCACGTGTTTCCTTCTCTTTCTCTTCCTGTCCTCTTTCGCTATCGCTGTCCACCCCTCCTCCCCGTGCTCCTGCTTACGGTGCTATTGCTCCTTGTCATTTTTTTTTCTGATTCCCAACTTTCCTTGGTTGGGTATTCGTTTGAATAGGGCGCTGGCTGCGGTCGCGCCCTTCTCCTCTCCCACCTCCCACTCCCGCCTCCCGCCTTCGCCTGCCTCCCGCCTCCCGCCCCCCCTCCCTTGCCTTGCCTGGGGGGCTGCGATCTGCGAAACCGTCCCACTTTCGAGGGCTGCTTCCAGAGGGGGCACCGCGCGGATCTGAGGTAGACCTCCCCGTCTCTGGGGGGCTGCGATCTGCGAAACCGCCGCCACTTTCGAGGGCTGCTGGTGGGTCCAGCAGAGTGGGGCACCGCGCGGATCTGAGGTAGACCTCCCCGTCTCTGGGGGGCTGCGATCTGCGAAACCGTCGCCACTTTCGAGGGCTGCTGGTGGGTCCAGCGGAGTGGGGCACCGCGCGGATCTGAGGTAGACCTCCCCGTCTCTGGGGGGCTGCGATCTGCGAAACCGTCGCCACTTTCGAGGGCTGCTGGTGGGCTGGTGGGTCCAGCGGAGTGGGGCACCGCGCGGATCTGAGGTAGACCCTCCCGTCCTTGGGGGGCTGCGATCTGCGAACTTGCCGCCACTTTCGAGGGCTGCTGGTGGGTCTAGCGGAGTGGGGCACCGCGCGGATCTGAGGTAGACCTCCCCGTCTCTGGGGGTCTGCGATCTGCGAACTTGTCGCCACTTTCGAGGGCTGCTGGTGGGTCCAGCGGAGTGGGGCACCGCGCGGATCTGAGGTAGACCTCCCCGTCCCTGGGGGGCTGCGATCTGCGAAACCGCCGCCACTCTCGAGGGCTGCTGGTGGGTCCAGCGGAGTGGGGCACCGCGCAGATCTGAGGTAGACCTCCCCGTCCCTGGGGGGCTGCGATCTGCGAAACCGCCGCCACTTTCGAGGGCTGCTGGTGGGTCCAGCGGGTGGGGCACCGCGCGGATCTGAGGTAGACCTCCCCGTCTCTGGGGGGCTGCGATCTGCGCAGCCGCCGCCACTTTCGAGGGCTGCTGGTGGGTCCAGCGAGATGGGGCACCGCGCGGATCTGAGGTAGACCTCCCCGTCTCTGGGGGGCTGCGATCTGCGCAACCGCCGCCACTTTCGAGGGCTGCTGGTGGGTCCAGCGGAGTGGGGCACCGAGGATCTGAGGTAGAGCTCCCCGTCTCTGGGTGCTGCGATCTGCGAAACCGCCGCCACTTTCGAGGGCTGCTGGTGGGTCCAGCAGAGTGGGGCACCGCGCGGATCTGAGGTAGACCTCCCCGTCTCTGGGGGGCTGCGATCTGCGAAACCGTCGCCACTTTCGAGGGCTGCTGGTAGGTCCAGCGGAAGGGGGCACCGCGCGGATCTGAGGTAGACCTCACCGTCCCCGGGGGGCTGCGATCTGCAAAATTGTCGCCTCTGTCGAGGGCTGCTGGTAGGTCCAGCGGGGTGAGGCACCGCGCGGATCTGAGGTAGACCTCCCCGTCCCTGGGGGGCTGCGATCTGCGAACTTGTCGCCACTTTCGAGGGCTGCTGGTAGGTCCAGCGGAGTGGGGCACCGCGCGGGTCTGAGGTAAACCTCCCCGTCCCTGGGGGGCTGCGATCTGCGAACTTGTCGCCACTTTCCAGGGCTGCTGGCGGGTCCAGCGGGGTGAGAAACCGCCTGAGGTAGACCTCCCCGTCCCTGGGGGGCTGCGATCTACGAACTTGTCGCCACTTTCGAGGGCTGCTGGTGGGTCCAGCGGGATAGGGCACCGCGCGGATTTGAGGTAGACCTCCCCGTCCCTGGGGGGCTGCGATCTGCGAAACCGCCGCCACTTGCGAGGGCTGCTGGTGGGTCCAGCGGAGTGGGGCACCGCGCGGATCTGAGCGACACCTCTTCGTCCTTGGGGGGCTGCGATCTGCGAAACGGTCGCCACTTTCGAGGGCTGCTGGTGGGTCCAGCGGGGTGAGGCACCGCGCGGATCTGAGGTAGACCTCCCCGTCTCTGGGGGGCTGCGATCTGCGAAACCCCCGCCACTTTCGAGGGCTGCTGGTGGGTCCAGCGGGGTGAGGCACCGCGCGGATCTCAGCGAGACCTCCCCGTCCCTGGGGGTCTGCGATCTGCGAAATTGTCGCCATTTTCGAGGGGTGCTGGTGGGCTCGCTACTTTCGAAGGCTGCTGGTGGGTCCAGCGGAGTCAGGCACTGCGCAGATCTGAGCGGGACCTCGCCGTCTTTGAGGGGCTATGTTATGCTGTTGCGGCCCTCCGACGTTTCAAGCCCCTTGCCCACCGTCTCTTTTTGGACTTTGCGTCTTCCCCAGTGACTCAGGGGTTCACTTAGTTACTCATCGTTTTTCTCTTGATTGGGGATCTGCGAACCTTCCGAATGCCGCTCGCAGACGTATATGCGTCCATTTCACGTCGCCGCTTTCTTGTCAAATCTCTCAAGCTACCCCTGCCCCGCACTGCGCCGGGGTTGGGTACGTCGCCAGGGTAATGTTTCTCCCTCCACATTTTCTTTTCCAAGGGGCTTGACAGTGCGTTGAAACCGCATATCGCAAGTTGTCGAGTACTGAATGCTCAACCCATCGAGAGGGCCGTCTGAATTGCACATGCACGTTGTGCGCCTCAGCGCAGCTTCCAGCGCGTGCATGTGGTACTTTTCACCTGTCGCCCAATCCAGCTCCTTTGAAACGCATCGCGGGCAGAGAGGCTACCAAACTCATGACAGCTACTGCATCGCCATCCAATTGAGGCGGGAGCCTGTGGAAACTGGCATCGACTGTTCTGTCCATATGCGCATGTTTGTTATTGAACCTCTTCGCGCAGGCTAG